CCCAGACAAGAGGGAAGTGTGCTGTGTTCAAGGAGCCGAACGCTTGTTATGTGGCTGGAGAAGCGTTTCTCACCGGCTCTGTCCTGCCTGGGCGCCTCTGTCTGCAGTGGCGTCCGCACAGGGAGGCGGACGAAGTGTGAGCTCTGGCCCTCACTCCCATGGCTCTGCCCACGCCCTGGGAGGGGCCCTGGGAATCTTACCTTTTGCTGTTGTTAATCATCACCCGAAGACATTTTCCCCATTGACTTTTATTTTTTACATTGACTTCAGAGAGGAAGGGAGAAGGAGCGATAGAAACATCGATGAGAGAGAATCTTCGATCTGCTGTCTTCTGCATAACAAGTCTCCCAGTGTAGGTCATGTGCCCTGATGGGTAATTGAATTGTGACCTTCCGGTTCATAGTCGATGCCTAACCACTGAACAAAACCAGCTGGAGCCGAAACCGGTGTGGCTCAGTGGTAGAGCGTCGGTCTGCGGACTGAAGGGTCCCAGGTTCGATTCCGGTCAAGGGCATGTACATTGGTTGCGGGCACATCCCCAGTAGGGGGTGTGCAGGAGGCAGCTGGTCGATGTCTCTCTCTCATTGACGTTTCTAGCTCTCTATCTCTCTCCCTTCCTCTCTGTAAAAAATCAATAAAATATATTAAAAAAAAAAACAAACAACCCGGCTGGAATCCATTGATTTTGAGTGGGAGGGAGGGGGAGAGAAAGGGTGAGAGAGAGAGAGAGGAGACAATTGAATTTGTTGCTTTTAGCAGGGGCTGGGATTGAATCTGCAACCCAGGTACATGCTCCTGACTGGGAATTGAACCCACAACCCTTTGTTACCTAGAGCAACACTCTAACCATTGAGCAGAACCATCTAGGGCTAAGTCTTGCGTTCTCTTATGCGTTTTCAAGAGGGCTTCCTACTTGTGTAAACTTCAGGCCTTGTACAACCTTGGGCCACCTCTGTTCCTCTTTGAGAGTAAATTCATCTTAGATCCAGTAATTTGTCTTTTCAGAATCATAAATGGTCTTCATTTATTGAGAACTTATAATATTTTGGGCCTTGCGCCAACCACTTTATATGTATTAATTCATCGATCCACTGAATTCGGCACCACAAGCCTGGGAGGGAGTGTCGCAAACCCTATTTTACAGCTTTAAACGCTGAAAACGCTGAAACCAGAGAATTTCCCTATATCCCCCCCAGTCACACAGTTAGTAAATGGCAGAGTCAGGATTCAAACCCACGCCTTCTGGCTTCAGAGTCCAGTCTTTTCATATCATTATGAGTTATTATTATTATAATATTTAATATGCTTTTGCCCTCGCCGGTTTGGCTCAGTGGATAGAGCGTCGGCCTATAGACTGAAGGTGCCAGGGTTTGATTCAGGTCAAGGGCATGTACCTTCGTTGCGGGCACATCCCCAGCAGGGGGTGTGCAGGAGGCAGCTGATTGGTGTTTCTCTCCCATCGATGTTTCTAGCTCTCTATCCCTCTCCTTTCCTCTCCGAAAAAAAAAAAAAAATCAATAGATATATTTATTTATTTATTTTTTTAAAATATATTTTTATTGATTTTTTTTTACAGAGAGGAAGAGAGAGGGATAGTGAATTAGAAACATCGATGAGAGAGAATCATTGATCAGCTGCCTCCTGCACACCCCCTACTGGAGATGTGCCCGCAACCAAGGTACATGCCCTTGACCGGAATCGAACCTGGGACCTTTCAGTCTGCCGGCCGACGCTCTATCCACTGAGCCAAACCGGTTTTGGCAATAAGATATATTTAAAAATGCTTTTACTGATTTCAGAGAGGAATGGAGAGAAACATCAGTGATGAGAGAAAATCATTGCTTGGCTGCCTCCTGCAGGCCCCCTACTGGGGACCAAGCCCACCATCCAGGCATGTGCCCTGACCAGGAATCAAACCCTGACCTCCTGGTTCATAGGTCGATGCTCAACCACTGAGCCATGCCGTGCTTTTTGAGCAAAGTTGCAGATCATATGCCCACAAAGATGTGTGCTTCTAGTTCAATGCAATATTGGGGCAATCTCCCCAAACTGGAAACTACTCAAAGGCCCGGACCAGGTGGGGCAAATTACGGCCCGTCTGCAGGATGGAATATTACCCAGGAGTTTAAAAGGTTAACCACCCCTTGTGAAGTTAAAGATATAGAATTTCAATGCAGTGTATCTGCTTTTTGTTTTACTAGGAAGGCAAGAAAATAGTAGTAATAAAGATTTACTTATTCAACCAATATTTGTTGAGAGCCTGCCTATGTACAAGGCACAGTTGGAGGCACTGGGACAGAGCATGGTAAAACAGAAGAGGCAGTGCAGAAGACAGACTGTTGACGAGGTGAGTGAGAGATACAGTAGTTCAGAGGATGAACAGTACATAGAGAAATACAGCTGGAAGAGGAAAAGGGATGGGAGGCATTGCAATGTTTATTTATTTATTTTTAAAATATATTTTATTGATTTTTTACAGAGAGGAAGGGAGAGAGATAGAGAGCTAGAAACGTCGACGAGAGAGAAACATCGACCAACTGCCTCTTGCACACCCCTTTCTGGGGATGTGCCCGCAACCAATGTACATGCCCTTGACTGGAATCGAACCCGGGACCTTTCAGTCCGCAGACATACGCTCTACCACTGAGCCAAACCGGCTTTGGCGGCATTGCGATGTTTAAACGGGCAGTTCCAAGGAACCATGAAGAGGTGACATGTGAATAAAGAGTTGGAAAGCTGTCCACAGTAGCCACATAAAGGGCAAGGGACTACCAGGGACTTGCAATATTTTCAACCACAAAATACAATTACTGGCAACCTCAGGGAATCTGGTCTGCCTGCTTCTCACTGTCATCACCTCCTGTAAGGGTACTCCATAGCATTCATCATCGCTTTTTTAAAAATTTATTGCCGAAACCGGTTTGGCTCAGTGGATAGAGGGTTGGCCTGCGGACTGAAAAGTCCCAGGTTCAATTCGGGTCAAGGGCATGTACCTTGGTTGCGGGCACATTCCCAGTAGGGGGCGTGCAAGAGGCAGCTGATCGATGACCCTCATCGATGTTTCTATCTCTCTCCCTTCCTCTCTACAAGAAATCAATAAGATATATATTAAAAAAATTCTTTATTGAATATGGTATCACATAATTGTCCCCATCCCCCCATTCCCATCCCAAACTCCTGCCCACATATGCCCCCACCCCCTTGTTGTCCGTGACCACTGGTTAGGCTTATATGCATGCACACAAGTTCTTTGGTTGATCTCTCCCTCTTTCCCCCACCCTCTCCTACTTTCCCTCTGAGGTTTGACAGTCTGATCGCTGCTTCTCTGCCTCTGGGTCTGTTTATGTTCATCAGTTTATGTTGTTCATTATTTCCCCTAGATGCGTGAGATCATGTGATCCAAGAAATACCCTTGTAAGAACCGAAACTGAGACAAGCCATCATGGTTATGCTGAGAGGCAAATGAATCAGTCTGTAGTGAGTTCCTTTCTGGGCCAACAGTTCTTTTGAGTCCCCATTTCAATGTCAAACAGTTCCTTATGTGTACATGTCAGCCATGGTATTTCAGATCTGGTTGGTGGACAAATGGTGGTGCATTATCGCTTCTAACAACTGGTTCCTGCCTAAGTTTTGGTGAATGCATTATCCCCCGGCTTCTGTAGCCAAATCCAGCTCATTCTCTTCTGAGCGTTTTCCAGCTCACTCGCCACAGGTCCTCTGCACAGGTGGTGGGTCTCCTGCCTGCAGGGCCACCCCCTCACCCTCAGGCCTCTCCTGCGCCCCTCTTACAAGACCGCTCCCACATTTGTTTATTATTTCAAATTTTCTCATGCCTTCCCTCACGAGTCATGGACCGGTGCCTACTTATTGGAACCAGGAAATAAGGGAGCATGGAAAGGCCAGAGAGAGGAGACGGCGTCTGCCTCCTTCGGTGATCCAGGCAGAGGGAAGTTGGACAAACTTGCACAGCACCCTTGCGGATCATCAGCTCGACCCATTCCCGCGCGTCCACTCGTGGGGGGGGCGCGGCGCCTTTAAGGATCCCGGAAACGGGCCGTGGGACCGGAAGTGACCCTCTTTATTTCCCCTCTTCACGTGGTTCAGGCGGGAAGTGACGCGCGGGGCCCGGGGAGCTGCGGACGCCGAGGCCGACGGAGCGGGAGTCGCGGACGGACGCCGCGGGGTCTCCGGGACAGGTGACCGGGCGAGGGGGCCGGGAGCGCGCCCGGAGAGGGCGTGGCCTGGCGCCCCACGTGGAGGCAGGCGGCGCGGGCAGGGGAGCGAGCCGCCCGCGGGGGCGGGATCGGAGCTCTCCGCGGGGGGCGGGGACTGGACGCCCACATGGGGAGCTAGCTAGTGGGGCGCTGGCGGGGCGGGACGTCGGCGAGTGGGCAGGGCCCCGGCGTGGAGGGGCAGCAGGGGGGTGAGGCCGAAAAGTTATTAAGCCCGCGTTGGGGGGGGCGGGGCCAATGTGTAACCCGGGAGCTCGGGGGCGGGGCCGGGCGCTGGCTGGGGGCGGGGCCAGAAAGTTTTGCGGGATCTGGGAGCGGGTCCAGGTCCTCGGCGGGGAAGTCAGGGGCGGGTCTAGAGGCTGACGTGCAGGCGAGGGCGGGACCAAAAAGTTGCCGGAGGGATGAAGGGGTGGGGCCAGGGTCCTGGCCGGGGGAATGCTGGGGTGGAGCCAGAAAGTTTTGCTGGAGTCCGGGTGGGAAGGGGGCAAGTTCAGAGCTTCGGCGGGGAAGCCGGAAGCCCCGTGGTTGGGGTACGGGGGGGCGGGGGTTGCAAATATTGACCCGACCTGGAAGGGGCGGGGCCGAGAGGGCGTGACTAAGAAGGTCGGTTGGTTAAGCCGGAGGCGTGGCCAATGAGAGCTGGCGGGCTGGGGGCGGGGCCGGCGTAATAACGCGAGAAGGAGGGGGCGGGTCTTAGCGGTTGCTTGGGGACCGGGGGGCGGGGCCAGAAGGTCGGTGGAGGGGGGAGTCGGAAGCCGGGCCAGATGAATGACACGGGGCGTGGGCGGGGCCAGAAAGTTTGCCCCGGCAGAGGGGCGGGGCCGCAGAGTTCCCGGCGGGGCGGATGCTGGCGCTCTTTCCCGTGAAGCCGCGGGCGGGTCGGGAAATTCCGTGTCCGGACGGGGCGAGTGTTGCCTGGGAAGACCGGGGTAGGCGCGGGAAGCCTCGCCAGTGGGTACCGGGCCTGTGTTCGGGACCTTGGCGGGGAGGCAGCTGCCTTATTTCCGCGATGGTGGTGGGGACCGCCCTGAGGGAGGTGTGGGTTTAGTATGTTCTCCGAGGATCGGGGCAGCCTGAGGGAGCGGGGATCGAGCTTTTATTTATTTATTTATTTATTTTTAAGAGTGTGGAGTTACGGGATGTTTCTGAAACTTCCCTGGGATAGAAGCGAGTTTAGAATCTTCCCTGGGATGTGAGCGGCATCACAGTGGGCCCAGGGGGGTGGCCTGGAACTTCCACGGACAGGTCCGGGGGAGGGTGTAGCTGAAGCTCTCCTGGACGGAGGCGCCGTCAAAACTCTCCGCACAGCGTGAGGAGGCCGGACTGGGGAACTGCGTCTGGAGGGAAAGCGGTGTTAGCTGGTCTCTTAAGCTGTGGCGTGGGGCCAGAACTTTCCTGAGGTGGGTGTGACCCTGGTGTTGGGTCACAAACGGTGGGTCCAAATGGTCACAGGGCGCGGAGGTTAAAATTTTCCCGGGAAGGGGCGGGCTGGTATTTCAAGAAGAGCGCTGGAGAGTGAGGACTATTATAGAATTCTTGTGGGTGCAGGGGTGTGTACACTGCTGTGATGGGAGAGAGGAAGCAGGTTGGGTGGGGGCATTGGCCTCAGTTCTTTCGTTTCTTCTGCTCTCAGGAACCCCCAGTGCTGCATCCACATTCTGCAGGGACGGTTTGCTGGGACCCCGGCCCCACCCAGTCAGCAGAATGGTGAGATGGCAGGTTCTGAGTCTGAGCTCAGCAGGGGGCTTGGGAGGAGGGGGTCCAGGTGCCAGACGCAGAACGCGGTTTTTCTTACCGTCTCCCCACTGCCTCCCTGTCTCAGTCAGCCACGCTGGATCTGAAATCCAAGGAGGAGAAGGATGCTGAATTGGACAAGAGGATTGAGGCTCTTCGACGGAAGAATGAGGCCCTCATCCGGCGCTACCAGGTGCCCTAGCCCTGCCCTGGGAGCCCCCAGCCCCTCTCCTCCCTGCAGTGAGTTTCCCTCACCTCCTTTTCTTAAGACCTTTTCATGGTTCCCCTTCACTCCCAGGATAAAAGCCGAAGGCCTTAGCCTGGCATTCCTTCCTCCATGCCATCATTCCATCGCTCATTCACAAATGCTCACCGAGGCCTTGGCTGTCCCAGGCCCTGTGCGGAGTGGTGCTGGGGAAACAGCGTGGCTGACACAGCCGGGCGGGGTCTGCCCTTCCGGGGGCGACAGCCCAGTGGGGGCACAGAACTGTCTTCAGTCAGTGTGACCAGAGTAGGCAGGCTGGCATCTTTGCGGGTCTTTGGGAGCCCAGCCTGGAGGATATCATGGAGGGCTTCCTGAAGGAGGGGGTTCTGAGGCCTGAAGGGTGAGTAGACATTTGCCCGTTGGGAAGTAGAGCAGAGCATGTTTCAAGCAGAGGAAACAGTTTGTGTAAAAACTTGGAACTTAAAATCAGAGGGTCAGTGGGGAATATTGGCCTGGAGAGGTCAGCAGGGGCCAGACTGAGAGTTTGGACTTCTTCTTGAGGGCACTGGGGAGCCATGGAGGGCTTTTGAGAGGAGGGGGGCCAGGTGAGCATAGCTTTTTAGGAAGGCCCCCTCTGGCTGCTGTGTGTGGTGGGAGAAGGTGGTAGGGGATGGGAGAGGGTGATGCCGGAGACAGAGGCCAAGGAGGAAGCTGAGGCAGGGACCTTGGGGAGAGAGGAGGTGCTTGGCTTGGGACAGTGACTGATGGACCGTGGCGTGAGGTGGAGGGGAGTGGGGAGAGTCCAGGACAAGGTCCAGGTCCCTGTCAAAGGTGACAGGAGGTGGTGGGGCTGTCCCAGAGATGGGCCTGGGAGGTGGATGGGGTTTCATTTATTCATTCTTCATCCATTCATTAAAACAAAAAACATATTGGGTTTCCGTTGTGTGCCAGGCAGTGTTCTAGGCTCTGGGCTACATCAGCATAAAGCAGACAGACGTCCCGGCCCTCAGGCAGGTTCTGTTGTCGGGGGAGGCAGACAACAGGCAAAATGGACGTAATGGCAGGGGAGCGGGTCTCTCTAAGCTGGGCAGGGAAGGCCTCCTTAGGGAGGGGAGCATTGAGCGGAGCCCTGAAGGAGGGGAAGGAGCCCGCTCTGTTCTCGGAGCAGTGAGGAGCCAGAGAGATGAGGAGCGTGGTGAGCAGGTCAGACCTTGGGCTGTGAGGGAGACTGCCAGCATACAGAGTCCGTCAGAGACAGACAGACAGACAGAGCCAGTAGGAGATGAAAGAGACGGGAGGGAATACAGGTAGACAAGCACACGCTCAACGGCAAAAAATAAGGAAAACAGGAAGAGACGGGGGGTACACACGCACTGGACAGGAGGGGGGAGGGCAAGAGCAGCGTGGAGCTCTTCCCCCCCCCCCCCCGGAAACAGTCTCCCCAGAGCCCTCCAGCCCCTCACCGCCTCAGGCTCCACTCAGATGTCCCCTCACGCAGAGACGGGCAGCACAGGAGGGCTCGGAGCAGGTGGCTGCGGTTTGGGGGAAGATGCTGAGATCACCAGCGCTCTCGCCTGGAGCTCAGGAGAGAGGCTGGGCTGCGGCCAGACTTGGGAGAGACTCAGGGGGCTTTGGGATTCAGCCATGCACTCCCCCCACACTCACCTCTGCTGTTTGCTCCTAGGAGATTGAGGAGGATCGGAAAAAAGCTGAACTGGAGGGCGTGGCCGTGACAGCTCCCCGGAAGGGCCGCTCGCTGGAGAAGGAGAATGTGGCCGTGGACGTGGTGAGCCCCACACTGCGGTGGGGACAGCAGAGAACAGGGAGGGGGGAGCTGAGACCCGAGATCATGTTAACGGCCCCCGATCTGTGGGGGCCTTCACCCGGCAGCCGCCCTGGGCCGCCTAGTCTCCGTGCTCCGGTGACTGGGATTTTCCCTTCTCCCTGGCACAGGAAAAGAACCAGGGTCCTTTCCGGAGGGCTCCTGGGACGCCACGGCCCCCGGGGACCAGCAGGGGAGGAGGCCGGACGCCCCCCCAGCAGGGAGGCCGGGCAGGCGTGGGCCGGGCCTCCCGCTCCTGGGAAGACGGTCCTGGGGAGCAGCCTCGGGGAGGAGCTGGCAGCCGCGGCCGGAGGGGCCGGGGCAGAGGGTCCCCTCATCTCTCTGGAGCCGGAGAGACCTCCGCTGCCGACCGCAAGTCCAAGGTAGGAGCTGGGAAGGGCTCTCCTCCTTAGATGGACCGTTTGCCTGTTTGTCCATCTTTCTGTGCGTCTTTCTCTCTTTCAGCTCCTCCATCTGGCTCTTTTTCTCTCCTCCTCTTGACCAGTGCCTGAGTGTATTCGCCCTGTCTCTGTTCTCCTCCTCCTCCTCCTCCTCTCTTTTTTCCTGTCAGGTGTGTGCTCACCCATCTGCCTTCCTTCGCCTGTCTCTTTCTTCTCTTATTGGCTCTGTTTGTCTGTCTCTGATAAACTCTGTGAGTCTGGCAGGCTCTGTCCAGTACGTGTGCTTCCGCTCTTTCTCCTCTAGATGTGTCTGTGGGGAGCAGTGACATCCTTACTGTAACTCCTGCCACTGTCCTGACACTCAGGTTAGCGGGGGGAGGCTGTCTAGCATAGTGGCTCAGAGTCCGCCATGGACTTGGGGTCATCTTAGTTCTATTTGTTCCCTGTCCTGGGGCAACTCAGTTCTCCTTTAGAAGCTTCTGGGTTCTTGCTCTTAACTGGGAAGAACATCTGGTTTAAAGGTTATAAACATTCGTGTCATCAGGCACAGAAACCCCAAGTAAGTGCTCACTGAACATGACCTATGGGTGTTTATTATTTGTATGAGAGGCCCGGTGCACGGAATTTGTGCACGGGTAGGGTCCCTTGGCCTGGCCAGCGATCAGGGCTGATCAGGGCCTTCTGGCTGCCAGCTGGGGCCTCCCTTCCTTGGCTGCTAGCCTGGGCCTTCCTTCGTTCCCGCTACTCCCACGTCGTCCAGCACATGTCATACCGAGCGATTGAACTCCCAGTCTCTTGGTCGAACTCCCACGGGGACACTTTGCATATTAGTCTTTTATATACATATATGTAGCTATGCTAAGCTGCTGTAACCAAAAGACCCCACTTAAGTCAGGTGGAAGTTTATTTCTCTCTTATATGCTGAGCCCTGGGAATAAAAATGTCAACTCTAGCAGCTTGGCTGTGCGCTTATATAAAATTTTGTTCCCATGGAGGAAGGGGAGAATGGATTGTTGGGGAGTGGGGGGTCACCAAGCCATATGCCAGGTTGTTATCATTATTTCTATGGCAACCGTGGTGTCTCAAGGGTCCCCAACCCCTCCCCCAGGTTCAGTGTTTTGCTAGAAAGATTCCCGACTGAAATACATTACAGTGAAAGAATTCAAAGCAAAATCAGCAGAAGGGAAAGGCATGTGGGCTGAAATCCGGCGGAGACCAGCTTGCCCAGGGGGGTCATACAGTTTGCACTCAATTCCTCAAGCATTGGCCTGGCCGGTGTGGCTCAGGGTGAGCATCGTCCCACGCACTGAAAGGTTGCTGGTTTGATTCCGGTCAAGTCACAGGCCGGAATTTTTTTTTTTATATATATTAATTGATTTTAGAGAGGAAGGGAGAGAGAGAAGTAGAAATATCAATGATGAGAGAAAATCATTGATTGGCTGCCTCTTGCATGTCCCCTACGGGGGTGGGGGTTCAAGCCCACAACCTGGGGATATGCCCTTGGCCGGAATCGAATCTGGGACCCTTTAGTCCGCAGGCTGACACTATCCACTGAGCCAAACTGGCTAGGGCCAGGGTTTCTACTGGGGGCTAGCCATGTAGGTCTCTGCTTGGTATGTATCCAGATTCCTGATCCCAATATGGCATTCAGCATGTACCCTATTGATGGCACAAACCAAGGCACAGCGAGTCCTCCTTATTGACGAATGCTGACGGGAGCACACTGGAGCCAAATTCCCGCCAAGGGCTGGCCTTAAAGCAGACCGGTCCGGAGGAGACACTTGGCTGTCATGGTAACTCCTCAGCACAGGAGCTGAGTGGTTCTTGCTGACACCCAGTGTCTGTCCCCCCCCTCCCCTCAGGAGTGGGAGGAGCGGCGCAAGCAGAACATCGAGAAGATGAACGAAGAGATGGAGAAGATTGCGGAGTATGAGCGCAACCAGCGGGTCAGTGCCAGGGCGTCCCCGGGGTGAGGCACGGCTGCAGGCCTGGCTGAGCCCGCCAACCCCGACCCCTGTGCCCGCAGGAGGGCGTGCTGGAGCCCAACCCGGTGCGGAACTTCCTGGACGACCCCCGGCGGCGCGGCGGGCCCCTGGAGGAGCCGGAGCGGGACCGCCGGGAGGGCAGCCGCAGGCACGGGCGCAACTGGGGCGGCTCGGACTTCGAGCGCGTGCGCTGCGGCCTGGAGCAGGAGCGGCAGGTGGGCGCTGGCTTCGGGGGCACGCCGGGCCAGTCTCACCTCGGCAAACTTCCGTGGTGTTTGCTGAGCGGCAGGCACAGCCGGGAGCCAGACAGCAGGGAGGCAGAGCAGGGAGAGGCAGCGAATGGCTGGCTCTCGCCCCAAGTGACCCGCTGGGTCTGTGTCAGGACCATACTGCTTCCTTTCCCCTTCCTAATGTCAGTGATGTTTGCTGCCCAGTGAGTGCCAGGCGCTGTCCGAGGTGCTGCAGCCAAGGGTTAGCAAGAGAGAGCCCCGTCCTGAAGCTTATCTGGTGGGAGCTCAATGAATGGAAATGTAGGTGTCTTCTCACAAAACTGAATGCACACCTTTTTTTTTTTTTTTATAATATATTTTATTGATTTTCTACAGAGAGGAGGGGAGAGGGATAGAGAGCTAGACACATTGATGAGAGAAAAACCATCAACCAGCTGCCTCCTGTACCTCCCCCACTGGGGATGTGCCCGCAACCAGTGTCATGCCCTTGACTGGAATCGAACCTGGGACCCTTGAGTCCACAGACCAACGCTCTATCCACCGAGCCAAACCTCTCGGCCGTATGCACATTTTGAATGATTATAAAGTTAGTGTTTGTTAACATACAGTTCATTTTCAAAATTTAAAGGAATCTACAGAAATGAATGATTTTTTATCAATGCCTGTTTTCAAACTGGTGACCATTCTGGTCCAGGCACTGCTGATAACTCCAAGCAGCAGAATCGCATATATAAAGAACAATTTTGTTCGGTACTTATGCGCCCTCAGTTCGTCAACTGTTGCAGCTGGTGTTGTAAACTTTATTTTTTATGCAGCCTCATTAAAAAGTCTAGTGGATGCATTGTCTTTGTTCAAAGCTTAGTCTGGTTTCACCCATTATTTCAAATCAGTGGAACCTGAAAAGGAGTGAAAATTAAGTGAGTTACCAGCTGCTAAGGTGTGTACACACACTTGGAATAATTATCGAGGCAGGGTTTGTACTGCAACTGCATCTTCAAACTTCCAGTAGCATTTTAGGATGAAGTTCCTTTGCTGAAAGCTTAGTCTGGCTGCAAAGAAAAAACCCTCCATTGAGCTATCAGCTGTGAAAGTGTGCATACGTGTTATTGGGACACCCTGTGGCATGAGATGCAGGTAATTCACATGCCATGAAGAAGAATCCTGCAGGGTGAGGGGACAGATCTGGGGTGGCATCTCTGAGGAGGTGTCTGGAGCAGACCTGGTCCTAACCTCTGCCCTGTCGCCTCCTGTGTGACCCTGAGCAGGGGACTCTATCTCTGAGCTCGGAGGACCTGGGTGGAGGGGTGGGCGGCAGAACAGGCCCTGACTGCTGTGTGCTGTGGTTGCTGTGGGCAGGGCCGCCGGGCTGGCCTGGGCGGTGCCAGTGACATGACGCTCTCCATGACGGGCCGGGAGCGGTCAGAGTACCTGCGCTGGAAGCAGGAGCGGGAGAAGATCGACCAGGAGCGGCTGCAGAGGCACCGCAAGCCCACCGGCCAGTGGCGGCGCGAGTGGGACGCCGAGAAGACGGATGGGATGTGAGTCTCGCCCCTGCCTGCCCCGTTTGGCTCCCTGCCCTGGGCCCGGACTGGTGTGCTCAGTGGCTGAGCGTTGGCACTCCTGTGACTGGCTCTGGTTTCCTACGCTGTATCAGTAACCGCAGTGGCAGGGCCGTGCGATCACCGGCTCTCAGGGGCACGGAAAAGCACCCCTTTCTCCTGTGTTCAGGGTCAGCTGTGGGTTCGACAGGGTGTGGCTTCTTTAAAAAAAAAAAAAAAATATATATATATATATATATATATATATTGATTTTTTACAGAGAGGAAGGGAGAGGAATAGATAGCCAGAAACATCGATGAGAGAGCGACATCGATCAGCTGCCTCCTGCACACCCCCCACTGGGGATGTGCCCGCAACCAAGGTACATGCCCCTGACCGGAATCGAACCTGGGACCTTTCAGTCCGCAGGCCGACGCTCTATTCACCGAGCCAAACCGGTTTTGGCAGGGCGTGGCTTCTTGAAGCAGGTTGAACTCATGCTCCATGTGTGCTCACTCTGGGGGTCAGGCTGAGGGGAGCAGACATGACTGGCAGATGGGCGAGAGGGAGAGTGGATAAACCTCCCCATTTTATTAGCCAGCAGACCCAGCCTCTCGGGGCGGGAACTTGAACTGCCCACCCCTGTGGCGGGAACTGCCGTGACTCCGTGGCTGACGGTGTGGCTGTAAATTCTCACCCAGGGAGGGCAGGAAGAATAGCTGGCATGATTAGACCTTTGCATCCTCCCTTCATCCCACTAATTTGTATCCCCCAACCCAGCGGTCAGCAAACTCATTAGTCAACAGAGCCAAATATCAACAGGACAACGATTGAAATTCCTCTTGAGAGCCGAAAACCGACTTCTGCGCATGGGCCACGAAGTTTCAATCGCACTGTACGTGCGCGCCCGCACGTGTTTTGTGGAAGAGCCGCACTCAAGGGGCCAAAGAGCCGCATGTGGCTCTCGAGCCGCAGTTTGCTGACCACTGCTCCAACCCAAACCCCTTATCCCAGTGGCATCATTATCCTCTGGTCTGACTTTGTCCCCTTCCGGGTCCAGGAAGAACCCAGCTAGCCAGACTTAAAGGAAGGCATCTTTGTGTTGTTGGCAGGAGGACCAGCCTCCGTGTCAGAGCTGCTGAGGCTCAGAGTTGATAAGTCTTAGATTCAGCAGTGGTTTTATCCCGTCCTGGGCCCTTAGCTGCGTTGGGAGATTTCACACCTAGGAGTTTTTGTTGTTTGTTTTCAATACTCACTTGAGTGTATGTGTTTTTAATTGATTTTAGAGAGGGAGGAAGGAGGAAAGAGAGAAACGTGGATCGGTTGCCGTGACTGAGGATCAAACCGCACCTTTTAAAAAATTTATCTTTAGCCCTAGCCGGTTTGGCTCAGTGGATAGAATATCAGCCTGTGGACTGAAGGGCCCCATGTTCGATTCCAATCAAGGGCACATGCCCGCATTGCGGGCTCCATCCCCAGTAGGGGGTGGGCAGCTGATCAGTGATGCTTCTCATCATTGATGTTTCTATCTCCCTCTCCCTGTCCCTCTCTGAAATCAATGAAGAAAATTTGAAAAACAAAACAACAAAAAACAGAGTCAGCCAATGAGCCTGGCTGATGTGGTTCACTTGGTTGGGAGTTGTACTGAGCCCGGTTTGCTCTCACATCAGTGTTTCTAAAAGTCAATTTAAAAAAAAAGAAAAAGAAAAAAGGACCAACCCACGAATAGGTAGAACGGCAGATCAATATTTCTCTAAAAAACAAAAACAAAAACCACACACAAGACCTGGGGAGGAGTGTCGGGAGCAGCAGGCGAAGGCCTAGGCGGGAGCTCGTGGTGGGAGAGCCTGTGTCGCTGGGCAGGTGACAGGCAGTAACCGGAAGTGAGACCAGCAGGAAGCTAGGGATCATGTATTATACTTCCCAAGGTTTTGTTCTAGGGGGTCAAATACTGAATGTTTTCTTTCTTTCTTTTTTTTAAAAAAATATATTTTATTGATTTTATACAGAGAGGAAGGGAGAGAGATAGAGAGTTAGAAACATCAATGAGAGAGAGTCATCGATCAGCTGCCTCTTGCACACCCCCCACCGGGGATATGCCCGCAACCAAGGCACATGCCCTTGACCGGAATCAAACCCGGGACCTTTCAGTCCCCAAGCCGACGCTCTATCCATTGAGCCAAACCGGTCCCGGCTGAATGTGTTTTTTCTGTGTGTGTCATATGATGCCAAATTTGCCTCTTGTCCATCACCTGATCCTGCCCCCTCTGAATCAGTTACCTCTCTGGTTGACCATGTCTCCTGCTATGACCTTGATTTCTGCCTCTGGCCCCCAGCTCCCTCTCGGTTTGTTTTTGTTTTGTGAATCCTCACCTGGAGGACACTTTCTCCATGATATTTAGAGAGAGAGGGAGGGAGGGAGGGAGCCGGGGCAGAGACACACACACTCACACACACACACATCCATTGGTTGCCTCCCGCCCAGTTCCTGGGATTGAACCCATGATCCTTTGGTGTGAGGCCAACACACTAATTACTGAGCACAGCGGCCATGGCCCACCTCCCTCTTTTCTCTTCCCACGCCTCTCGCTTCCACTGTCCCCCGGTTCCTGCTCACCCTCTTCTCTCTCCCCAGGTTCAAGGATGGCCCCACGGCTGCCCTGGAGCCATCTCACCGATATGGTGAGTGGGTGGGTGTTCTGGGCGGGGGAGGCAGCTGGCTGGGCCAGGGTAGGGGGGGGGGGTTTGTGCTGTGCCCTCCCCCCCCACAGCTCCCGGGTTCTGTTGCAGATGAGCAGGCCTGGGCCCGGCCCCCCAAGCCCCCCACTTTCAGGGAGTCCCTGTCCCAGCACAAAGCGGAGGTCAGCCGCAGGAAGAGGAAGGGCAGCCGCCCCCAGGCCAAGGCAGCCGCCCGTGCCTACAGGTGGGCACCCCTTCCCGGGCACGTGCCCGCTCCCAGCGGGCTGGGCGGCCCGCACCCTGTTCTCTGGCTTGTTTAGTTGTGGTCGGTGTGTCTCAGGGCACTTGTCTCTCTGGGTGAGGCCCTTTGTTTGGAGGGGTTGGGGCCTGTCTCTCCTTGTCACTCATCTGTCCCCTCCTCCTCTTCCGCCCATCTCCGCTTCTGCCACCTGGTCCTCCCTCCATTGTCTGTCTGTCCCTGACGCCTGAAGACACACCCGCCATTCCTCCTGAGTACTCTAACGCCACAAGTCTCTCCCCCCCTAGCTGAGGAGCGGGAGGAGCGGGAGCGGGAGCCCCTTCCTCCTGTGCCCCGCAGGCCTCACGACCCTTCCCTCTGACCTTCCAGTGACCACGATGACCGCTGGGAGACGAAGGAGGCGGAGTCCCCAGCCCCCGAGGCCTCACAGCCAGCTCCCCGCGAGGAGACGCCCGCACAGGTGAGGCGGACTGTGGTTGCTGGGCGGGGGTGTGGGGGTGCTCAGACCCCCACCTTCTCTCTGACTTGCCTGTGTTCCCCACAGCTGCCCGAGACCCCAGCCCCTGCTCACCGGCCTCCTGAGGACCAGGGGGAGGAGGACCAGGGGGAGGAAGATGAAGAGGAGGACGACGAAGGGGAGGATGAGGAATGGGAAGATGTGAGTGAGGGCGAGGAGGAGATTGAAGAGGAAGAAGAGGCTGATGACGAAGAGGAGGAGGAGGAGGAAGAAGAGGAAGAAGAGGAGGAGGGACCAGCCCAAGACCACCGGCCCCAAGAATCTGAGCCCACGGGGAGCGCCGGCAGTGAGCAGGCCAACAAAGAGCCCTCCAGCCCCGAGCAGCCCCTGCCACGCCCCCAGTCCCCCGCCACACCGTCCAGCCCCTTCTCCCCCGCTGGGGGCCACCAGCCTGTGTCTGACTGGGGCGAAGAGATGGAGCTGAACTCTCCCCGGACCAGCCACCCGGCTGATGCCCTCTCTCCGGGTGAGGCCTGGCCTTTTGAAAATGCATGAAGCTGGCTGCTTGTGTGTGTGTTCAAAGGGTGCATGGGTGGGGGTGAGGGGACCCTCAGGGGCTGGGCCCCGGGATCCCGTGTGCCCCACAGCCCTGGCGGCCTGGGAGGACAGTCCGTGCCCATGTGTGTACTGTCCTTGCCGATCTCTGGATGCCCACCCCCGGGTACTGCCCCCGCTCTGGGTCCTGCCAGAGCTCCCTCTAATAAAGCGCTCACGTTCAGTGACATTCCCATTCCCAAGCTGTGTCCTTGAACCCCCTTTCCCTCGGGCCCCTCTGTCTTGGGGGGCTACGCGGACAGGGAGGGGCTTGACCAGGCCTCCTGCTCCTCCAGGAGGTGACCAGCCGGCCCCTGCCTCCTTGGGGAGCGGGCCCAGCCTCCGAGGAACCCGGAAAGCTGAAGAGGAGGGCTCCGAGGCCGCTCCAGGTGGGGGAGCCAGGGCCCTGGAGGTGGCTGCTTCCTTCCCCTTCCTCTGGGGCGAGGGGAGGGGGGCTTGGGGGTGTGATGGAGCGGAGCTGGGCTCCATCACCAGTGTGTGGGGTAACAGCTGGACCTGGGGTGAAGTGAGCAGGTGAGGGGGCAGAGCTAAGGGAAGGATTCCTGGGGCCCAGTTACTAGGAACCCAGTGGAGGGGCCTGGGGATGAGCAGGCAGAGCCAGGATGGGATTAGGGTTTAGAGGTGGGCCTGGGGGTTTGGAAATAGAGGGGTGGGGCTAAAGGCAGGATTAGGAATTTTAATAGATTAAAAAAAGTGGGGAGGGCAGTCTAATGGATTTAGATGTGAGCTGGATTAGATATTTGAGGTATTAGATATTAACCGAGTGGGGGAAATTAGAATAGGAATGCACACCCTATTAGAATGTTGGGACTGAACCCGCAGGAGTGGGGTTAGGGTTTGGGGGCGGAGCCGGGGAAGGTCTGGTTAGAACTCAGGAGGCAAGGACGAGGGCGAGCAGGCACAGCAGGGCAGTCGCCCGTAGAGGTAGGTTGAAGCCCATGAGGCGGGTGGGCTGGATGTTTAGGGTGGTGGGTGAGGCCAGGTGTCCTAGCGCCTTGTTAGCCAAGTGACCGTGATGTCGTTACCGCATTCCGGTTTGTTTATTGTAAAGAGGATTTACAATAAACTGCTGCAAGGATTAGAACGGGGGCGTCTGTCGCCAAGCTCAGTGGAGGTGAGGGGCAGGGCCAGGCGGGCTGTCTTGGGGACTTCCCTCCGCTGACCGCCCCTTTTCTCCCCAGAGGTGGGCCCCGAGGGCCAGGAGACCGCGGAGATCACCAACTTCCAGAGGGTGCGTTTCTGCAAGGTGGTGGCGGCCGCCCCGCCGCCGGGGGCCGCCCGCTGACCGCCGCCCGCCCGCCCGCCGACGCTGCACTCACTTCCTGCAGCCGCGTGCCTGCCTTTCGCTTCTGCCCACTCCGGCCAGGAGGGGGTTAACGCTAGGGGGGCGGAGCCCGAGGCCGCGGCCGGCGTGGGGCCCGGGCTTTAGTCCAGCCTCACAAATGGGGGGGACGCCGGACCCGGATGGCCGGGAGCCTCCCAGTGACCCCCCTGCGGGGTCCCGGCGGGTAGGTGCCAGTCCCCGGGCCGGGTGTCCCGCCGCCAGGAGATTCCTTCTAAGGCATGGCCGCTGGCGGCGGCGACTGCGAGGACTCGAACCGCTCGGCCACCGGTTGTGTATTAAACGCAGCGCTTTCGCTAACCTTTGCACCGTGTTCCTGGCGGGGGCGGCCTGGCTGCGGTGCTTGGCACAAGGCTTCTCTGCGGCGGAAGAGGCGGGAGGAAGGGTCTTTCTCTCTCTCTCCACCCCCTGACACCTATCCCCTTCCCCCCCTCCCACAGGCCTCCCCGAATTCCTGAAGACGCTGCTGGGTGGGCACTGGAGCCTCCTGCCTCGGTGGGGTGGGCGGGCCGTCCTGGCTGTGCCTCCTCCGGAGCCTGGCTTAGGGAGGGAGACGTGCAGGTGGAGGGGGAGGAGCCGGGGAGGGGCGCGATCGGGGCGTGGGGCTGAGCTGCAACTTGGCACAGGGTGTGGAGGAGACGGGGCTCTGTGGGGCCTGGTTAGGTTCTGGGAGGGCCGGAATCCTGGTGGGCGGGTGAGAGCGGGAACGCATCAGGACATGAGGGGCCTCCAGAGCCGGCTTAGATGGGAGTTCCTAACGCTGGTGTGGGGCGCAGCCGCCTGGAATTCGGTGCTGGAGCGAGTGGAGTGCGGGGAAGAAAAGCGACTAGAGGGAGGGGAAGCCAGGGCAGAAGAGGACAGAATCGAATGCTGGAGTATAGTCTTATTCAGAGGAAATTAAGCTGGAACGGGGGCTTGCGAGGCCTGAGCCTGGCAAGGGGGCGGGGCTCGGAGGCGAGCTAGCCGCCAGGAAGAAGCCTGACTCCCTTAAAGGGCAGAGGGCTAAGGCGCGGGGAGGAGCTAAGCGCTGGGCGGCCTCGCAGTTAGGAGGCGCGGGAGCCCTGGCTGACGCGGCTCAGGGGGGCGGCCTCCCGCGCACCATCGCCCGGGAGCGCACCTGCCGGGGCTGGACTCTCTCCCCCGGCAGGGGGCGTGCAGGAGGCCGCCAGTCGTATTTCATTCTCACAGCTGTTCCTCCCTCTCCTCCTCTAAAAGTCAATAAAGATGAAGTAGGGGAGTTTTTCTAAGAAGTAAGAGCCGTGGGCATGACCCCGAAGCGTGGGCTAGACCTGTAATTTGGAAAAGAAACGGGTATTACAGTTCGGGGGCGGGGCCAGAGGCCGGGGGGCGGGGCTAGGGCGCCGCGGTTGTCTCAGCTTGGTAATGGTTGGCCGGAGGCTGAGGGGGCGGGGCCAGGGAGCGGAGGCGGCCCTTTGGCGAGGGGGCGTGGCCATGCTGGCGGGACGCGGAGGTGGCCGCCGGAGAGGCGGGCCTGGGGGCGGGGCCTGTGCGGGCGCTGCGGCCGAGCGGGCAGCGGCGATGCGGGGGACGAGCTGCGTGGGCGGCGGCGGCGAGAGCCCGGGCGGCGCGGGGCTGAGCGAAGGCCCGCGCGGCCGGTGGCTGCGCCTGGCTCCGGTCTGCGCCTACTTCCTCTGCGTGTCGCTGGCCGCGGTGCTGCTCGCCGTCTACTACGGTCTCATCTGGGCTCCCGCGCGGCCCCCCGCGGCCGCCGCCGGCCCGCCGCCGAGCGCGCCGTCCGCTCCGTGCGCTGCCCCCCCGGGCGCGCCGCCCGCCCCGGCGCCCGCCGCCGCCTCCGTCCCCTGCCGCCTGGGAGCCGCCGGCGGGCCGCGGCCCCAGCTCCAGCTGCCGCGCAGCCGCCGCCGCCGCCAGATGCCCGGAGAGACCCCGGAGGCCGCGGGGGGGCGAGGACCGGGGTAACCCCCCTTCCGACCCTGCGCCGCACCGCAGGCCCTCCAGAGCCCGCGAGGATGCCCCGCCGAGGATGCCCGTTCCCGTCCGGCCGGGATTTTGTCTTCACTGGAACAGCCTCGAGCTCGTGGAGCTTCATCCTGAAGAGCGGGGGTGCAGGGGAGCTGGCTCGGGGCGCCCACCCTCTGGCAGACCGCCGCCCGGCCCTCCCTCCAGAGGATCCTGGGCGCAGAGCCCACGGCCCCCTCCTCTCTGGCTCTCCGTGTCCCTCCGTCCACGTCCACCTGCAATAAACTCCACACCCTCCTCTCCGGTGCTGCTGGTCTTGTCTGCGCGAGTTTGTGAGGGTCTTTCCTGGCGTCTGGTCTCTGTCTGTCTTGCTCGGAGGGGCTGGGTGTGTTCCTCCCTTCCCACGGGGTCCCTTTTCTTACATCCCCCTCAGGCAGTTTTTGGGGTGGGGTGGGGTGGGGAAAAGAGGCTTATCTGCCACAGGGCAGTTGAAGGTCAGACGGTGAGAACTTCACAGGCTTTTTGCATGCTTGGGGCAGAGGACAGGCGCCTTTGGCGACAGCAGAGGGTCCTCCTTCCTGTCACAGCACAGGAGACCGGTGAGAGGTAGGATAATGTCAAGCAAGAGCTGGGGTCCTGGGGTTTGTGCTCAGTGTGATGACAATGCCAGGGACAGAGGCCAAGCCGCTCCGAGATGCCAGGATGCTGCTGGGACGGCAGCCTTCTCCTGGGGTCTGAGAGGGGAGCATGGCAGGAGGCGGGAAACCAGGAAGGAAGCGCTCAAAGATGAACTGTGTTTCAGGCCCAATCCCCAGTTGCCTCCGGAGATGTGCGCAGCCTCCCTGGGCTGTGGGCTTCGGGCAAACTGAGGCAGGGACACGGTCCTGCTGAGAGAGGTGGCTGAGCACACTGTCCCCCCTACCAGCCTGAGGCCTGGCTCCGGGCAGGGCACCGGCCCCGCAGGCAGGGAGCGGCTTTCCTATCCAGCCTCCTTCTCCCTTGAACTGGATACTCCCGGGAGAGGGGAGCCTCCTCCCTCAGGCGGGCACCTCTGTGGATGCTGTGCTGGGAAGGTCAGCCATCGTTCTCTCTCTTAAAAAAAAAAAATAAAAAAAAAATATATATTATTGATTTTTTACAGAGAGGAAGGGAGAGGGATAAAACGTTAGAAACATTGATCAGCTGCCTCCTGCACACCCCCCACCGGGATGTGCCTGCAACCAATGTACATGCCCTTGGCCGGAATCGAACCTGGGACCCTTCCGTCTGTGGACCGAAGCTCTATCCACTGAGCCAAACCGGCTTCAGCAGCCATCCGTCCTCTTTACCCGGGCGGTGGTCTGCCAGAGGGTGGGCGCTCCAGTACCATTTCCCAGCGCGTGTCTCCGAAGGGAGGGGGACTCAGGAAGCCAGCACATTGCCGTTGGCATGGGGGTGCTTAGGGGCGTTAGAGGACAGACAGCTTTCCCCTCCCTGGCTGTGTGACTCTGGGCAGGTCCCAGCCCCGTTGGCCTTGTCAAGGGAAGATGGCGCTAGGTGTGTCACAGAGGTTCTCTGAGGATTGAATAAGCTGGTGAGCTTAGCACAGCATCGCAGTCTCTCCCCGGGGCTTTAACAACCAAAGCTCGGCCCTCGCCGGTGTGGCTCAGTGGAGAGAGCATCGGCCTGTGGACTGAAGGGTCCTGGGTTCAATTTCTGTCAAGGGCACATGCCTGGGTTTCAGGCTCAATCCCCCGTTGAGGGCCTCCAGGAGGCAGCCAATCAATGATTCTCTCTCATCATTTCTCTTCCCTCTTCTCACTGTCTGACCTCTCCCTCTCTGAAATCAATAAACATATATTCAAAACACAAACAATCAGAACCAAAGCTTGATTTCCAAGATATCAGCCACACAGTGAGTTTAGAGGGAAGAGTTGCATCTCTGTTCCCATGGCCTCCCCGTCCACGGCCCAGCTCTCTTATCCCAGCCCCTCTGTCTGTCTTTTTCTCTCTCAATCTTTGTGCGTCTCTCCCTGATTCCTGCTGGCAGCTGGGGGAAGGCCTTCTCTTGTGTGATTCCTCTCAACATTGTCTCTCTCCACCCCTGACTCTCTGACACATTCCATCCTCTCTGTTGCTCTTCACCCCAGCTCTCTTTCACTTCTGTCTTTCTCACTTCTCTCCCCCATCTTGCCCCAGCACCCTCACTTTGCTCTCCCCTTTCTGCCCCACCCTCCTTTCCCATTTCTCTCCTGGTTCAGCTCCTCCATTGCAGGATCTCTCCCCTTTCTTTGGTTCTCTTTCCTTCTCTTCTTCTGTTTCTTTTAAAATATATTTTATTGATTTTGTACAGAGAGGAAGGGAGAGAGAGAGCTAGGAACGTTGATTAGAGAGAAACATTGACCAGCTGCCTCTTGCACACCCCCTACTGGGGATGTGCCCGCAACCAAGGTACATGCCCTTGACCGGAATTGAACCTGGGGACCTTTCAGTGCGCAGACTGACGCTCTACCACTGAGCCAAACCGGCTTCGGAATCTGTTTCTTTTTTTTTTATGTTGCCTTTTATTTTTATTTTTAAAATTTTTTGCATTTTAATTTCTTTATTGGTTAAGGTATTACATATGTGTCCTCATCCCCCATTACCTTCCAAACCCCCTTGTTTTTTTAATCTATCTATCTATCTATCTATCTATCTATCTATCTATCTATCTATCATCTATCTATCTATCTAAAAGCCTAAATGATGGTTATGACTGGCCAACTGGCTGGTAGATGTGACATGCACTGACCACCAGGGGGCAGATGCTCAATGCAGGAGCTTCCCCCAGTGGTCGGTGTGCTCCCACAGCCAACCTCCCATGGCTGCCAACCTCCTGTGGTTCCCAATTTCCTGCCCCTCCCCTCCACCGCCTCCCGGCAGGCCCAATTGGCCCTGGTCGGGACTGGGCAAGATAGTCCCAATCGGCCCCTATTGTTGGCCAGGCCGAGGGACCCTACCTGTGCTCGAATTTGTGCACCGGGCCTCTAGTGTATCTATAATAATAAAAGCATAATATGCTAATTAGACTAGATGTCCTTCAG